GGGTGGGTCCTTTGGGAGTCTGGGAAGATGATGAGCAGCGGTCCCCGGGGACCCAGCTCTGAGACCTCGTGGCCGTTAATGCACAGGGAGGGGTCACAGGCGTTGGCAAGTGGCAGTGCTGGGCCAGTGGATGGCTGGGTTGAGGGAGATGTGGGCTCTAGGCTGTGGTTAGAAAGGTCAACTCCCTGAATTCCATAGCAATAAGGCACTTTCCCTAGGAAGTCCGAGACCTGGAGGAGGAGGGGTGACTGAGCAGGGGGGTGTCTGGGGCACCTGGCCCCCAGACCGTGGTTCCCGTTAGCCTCACATAGGGCCATGGCCAGGCCAGGCATTTAACTCCTGGCGCGTCCCCTGGCTGACTTGGGAAGCTGGTCTGGATTCCCCTCCCCCGACCCACCCCTGGTGCCTCCCTTGCCCTGAGATCCCTCAAATTCAGTGGTGGCCTGGGGGAGGGGAGGCTCTGCCCCCATGGCCGTGCAATAGTGAAATCACCTGGGATGGGTGGGCTGTGTGGTTCCAGAGAGGCCAGCTCCTTGGTAACTGGCATCCTGTTGCCATGGCAACGGGGCTAGTGATGGAGGAGAGATGACAGTGTGCATGTGGTGAGGGCGGGCTGGAGAGTGCATTTGGGCACCGAGGGCCTAGAGACCTGTGAGCCTGGCCTCCCACCGCTTCCGAGCCCTTAGCGCCTGCCCCGTCGGAACAGACTTTCCACTCAGACGAAGGCCGAAGGCCGGCCTGCCAGGGATGTGGGGTGAGGGAGGCAAAGCTCTGGGGGCCAGAACTTTAACACCTCTCCTTGTCCACCTCGCCCTCCTGACAGATTCCAGGCAGAGGGGGGTTACGTGCTCTACCCTCAGATCGGGGACCGGCTTGACCTTCTCTGCCCCCGGGCCCGGCCTCCTGGCCCCCACTCCTCTCCTAATTACGAGTTCTACAAGTTGTACCTGGTAGGGGGTGCCCAGGGCCGGCGCTGCGAGGCCCCCCCTGCCCCAAACCTGCTTCTCACTTGTGACCGGCCGGACCTGGATCTCCGCTTCACCATCAAGTTCCAGGAGTACAGCCCTAACCTCTGGGGCCACGAGTTTCGCTCACACCACGATTACTACATCATTGGTACTGCTGGGCGGAGGGCGGGGTCCGCGGGGAGGCTCTCCCCCACCCAACCCCAAGACTGAGGGGCAGGGGAGGAGCCGAGAGAGACCCCTGACGCCCCCCCCGGGGTGGTGTCAGGGCCAGGGAACGGGGACGGAAGAGGGGCTCGACTCTGGAGTGCCAACTTCTCCGTCTGGCTCTTCTCTCCCAGCCACGTCGGATGGGACCCGGGAAGGCCTGGAGAGCTTGCAGGGAGGTGTATGCGTCACTCGGGGCATGAAGGTGCTTCTCCGAGTAGGACAGAGTGAGTGGGGGCGTCGGGGCGCACCTCCTAGGAGCCGAGGGAGGTTGGGGCAGCACCGTCAGGGTCCGGGGGCTGCTGTCTCAGCCCCTGCTGTCGGGTCTCCCCCATTTCCAGGCCCCCGAGGAGGGGCTGCCCCCAGAAAGCCTGTGTCTGAGATGCCCATGGAGAGAGACCGGGGGGCAGCTCACAGCCTGGAGCCCGGGAAGGAGAACATGCCAGGTAGGAACCGGGGGTCCGGTCTCCTGCCTTCCCCCC